GAAACATCGCCGTACACAGAGCATCCAAGTAAACGACATGGCCGTTGCGAAATCCATACAAGTTAGTCTACAGAGCTTTCCGCTCTATAGACAGCAGAGGCAGCTTCCACTACAAAGCTATACAAGCGAGCAGCTACACATCTGTGAATAACAGAGACATTTGCACTCGCAATGAAAATGAACAAAGGTAATAACATGTGAGGGCAGTTATGTCACTGTTCAAAAATTTGACAGGTGTAGCAGGTCCCCTGAACGATACTTAGGGAACACGTTTATTGCATGCAGTGAATTCAGAAGCTGCCTGATTGACTGGGGGTCAGTTGTAACTAGTAAGATATCAAAACAGAGCCGTATTTTGCTACAACTCTTCAGCAGAGCTATTCCTTACGCGCCTGTGTGTTGAAAACTGTATTGCTAATACAATTCCTCGTGCTATATGCGCGGCGGTTCGAACAGGTCGATTCTCAAATATTTTCAAATAGAAATAGTTTGCTTGAGAAGCCTACACAGTGGCGTCCAAGCTGCTGCCAAACGATGTTAGCAAGAAAGTACCTCAGACACCACATTCAATTTCATTAACGTGTGAAAGTCATCCGACCGTTAAAAGTTATTAGTGAACCTGTTAATTCCTTCATAACAGGTTATTTCAAGCTGCCCTGACATATTGGAACCTACACGTAAAAGGAAGTCACCGTGGCGGCTCCCGAAAGCGTTTGTCCAACAATCGCATTAAGAAAGTTGCGTGTTTAACTGGCTATGCATTTAGCTTCTGTCTGGACCCCTTACAATGGTGGGCACTCAACTCCTTTCAAACAAATGAATACACTGCTTGGTTGTAATAAAATACAGAGACATTGCATCTTATATGGGCAACAGCATTGTTCTAGAAGCGTTATACATATACTGACACACCTGGAGCATATCTCGTACCACGAAAGAGAAAGCACACTCTGTGGCCTAAGCCGAGGCGTATTGATTGCTTTTAAAAGGCTTAAAGTCCTTTAAATATGTCACATGTGACGCCACGTACCAGGCAGTGTTCGGATGACAGACGCCGAGTAGGCTGCAATGCATTTTCAGGACTGCTTGCAGCAACCTGAAGGGACACTTGCAGTACAAGAGGGGTCAAGGCAATGAGACAAATGGCCCCACCGTGGTGGTCTAGTGGCTAAGGTACTCGGCTGCTGACCCCCAGGTCGCGGGATCGAATCCCGGCTTCAGTGGTTGCATTTTTAATGGAGGCGAAAATGCTGTAGCCCCATGTGCTCAGATTTGGGTGCACGTTAAAGAGCCCAGGTGGTCATAATTTTCGGAGCCCTCGGCGTCTCTCATAATCACATGGTGGTTTTATGACGTTAAACCGCACATAAAGATCAAGCAATGAGACAAATGAGGGCGCGGCTCACGGCATGCGTGAGTGTAGATTTTTTAAACGTCGTGACTGTCCTTACAGCTCTACATGCCATTAAAGAAGTCACTGCATACTTTGTTTACAATCTAGTAAGTTTTCACGAAAGAGAATGGTGCGGTCATCCAAATGTGAAAGATGCAAGAAGTGGCATATCTGGTTGACACCTGAAGCTGCGTCATGTCTTGACTAGGTTAGAAAGCATGTTTATATATTGGCTCGTGAATAGAACCAGAATGACACATCGGTATCTTTTGGACAGTGTGTCATGTTTTTTTTTCTACGAGTACTTTCATGAAGTAAAATAGCACAACAGTAGCACGATTGGAGGCAGAATGACAGAACGTAACTATAACGGTTTGCCGAAAGTCACGCTACGCGCATAATTCTTTTGTTTTCTTGGATAAAGCTACAAAATGTGAGTGGACTTGGGTTTTGTACCCCAGCACGACAGCACCAATATTGTAACGTTTTTCAATACCAGTAGAGCACCTATACGTGGCGTGGAGAGCAGGCATTGAAGATTGCGTCAGTTTCTTCTGTAATATTCATGAAGACATCCGTTTTGCGGCTTTCCAGAGCTCAACATGTCAAAGGTTGTCAGGTTTGTACAATACACTTGATTAATAATCACAGAAAAATCATTTTATGCAACAATAAAACTTGAGATTAAGCTTTTTAATTTCGCGATCAGGAAAAGTGTGCCGGTCGGTGGCCTGCTTTGGACATGAGCATGTTTATTTTAATTATTTGCGAGTTTATGCGGCCTTTTAGTCCTAGACACTGCTTTGCGAGAAATAAATATAGATAATGTAGACCCTAAAACATTTCTTGCCACCATTCCTTGCTTTATATTATCAAATCAAAAACATTTGTGTACAAGCTTAAATTAGGTTGAAATGTTTCCTAACGATGAAAACGATGCAATGCATAGCTAATCGACTTTCGTTATTTATTGTCTAAAAAGAAGACATGCTCCGTCTGTGCAAGCAACGTGTACGTGGTGAAATAAATATACGCAAGCACAGGTTGCTTTGTTTTCAAGCTGTTTGTGAACCTTATTCGATTCATTGTCGGAACAATTCAGTTGCAAAGTTCAGCCACACCTTCGGTAACACTATTAGCATAGTTTACTTTTCCGCAGTCGGTGTGCCCCCTTTTTGCGGGTGGCACCATACCAAAAAATGGAAACGTCATCGTCATTTCATGGGAAAGCATACTTTTGGTGGCATTACCGCTTATTTTGTTTGCGCAGTACTGCCCCGACTTTCTATATACCCAAAACAATATCAGAATTTCCAAGATGAGTATCTGCGACAAATAAACATTCCTCACGAAAGGCGCGCATTATCCTGAAAGACCTTGCTCTCACTCATGAGGGTCACTTTTAGGGAATTGAATAAAACAAAACACCACTGCATGCGAAATGGCAAAGATGCTTATGATCAGTAGAATGACAGCAACAATGGGACGCCTTGATGATTGGCATTCACAAGACCAGGTATATTAATCATGGGGCACTGTTTCTCAACACAAGACATAAAAAAGGACACATTTGTAATCATTCATATCAACGTGGTTTTTAGGAGATTACCAACATTCGGCGCACACCTGTGTGTCAAAGGTCGTCTCTGAACGCAACGCAACTAGCAACAATAGAGTATCCAACTGAAATCTCGGAGTATATTCAGCTGATGCGATGATAAAACGTACTGACGCTGTCTTGGTTTGGCACTTGCGACGTTAGTGGGTCCCACCCGGAAACGAAACGCGACAAGTCGGAAAAAAATTCTTTGGGAAACTGCAGTGCCATGTGCTCTTTCGTCACTAATGCCGGCTTTGCCAGCTGATTTGTCCTTGCTAAATAATGCACAAGGTGCCTCAAATTCAGCGGTGAAACAAGCTTTTAGCCTGATTGTACTGGCCAAATGCGTTGTAGCTAGCTATCTCCTCCTTTTGCTTATCCACGGGAATAGAGCACCATAGAGTTTGTTATTTTTTTTATGCTTTAAGTATTGCTTCAAGTATATTTCTTCACCCGTCATAACGCATCACCACAAGCCAGGAGATTGTCATTTCCTATATAAGAAAGGGGTTATTGCTTAAAGAATTAGCGCGATCACGGTGCCCTGTTCAGTTCTCAGGGGATTGTTCACACTTGCATTAAGAAGCAACTGCCTGTTCAATATGAGTACTATTAATTGGAAAGGACAAACAATTTGCTGATCTGTGTGTTCCAAGTAGAGAACACACACACGCACAAAAACAGATTATCTGTACATTTACTCCTCAGTACGTTTGTGGAATGACTGTTTCTGAGGAGCTTGTGCCTTCAATGATCCAATGTTAGTACGTCTCCATATTATTCTGTCGCGAATGTTTCGCTTTCATCACTATCGTCCCAGAAAACGCTTACAACAGAAATACATTGCGGCTCGGTAACTTTTGCTAGGTCATCTTTCCTCGTTAGCCGTTAAGCCGTTACGCGTTCAGACTTTATGAACGTGGTGGTACGGTGTTAATATTCATAAGCTAGAGTTTTGCATATTTGTCAATAACTGAAATAGTTGAGCCATGATGGCCCATTTCTGCAAATATCATTTTGAGGGCATCCTTTTGCAACTCGACGTGTTAACATGAAATTCTTTTCCGTCGATCCTGTACATAGCTACTTGCTTCCCTGCGCACTTTGTAGTCATAACAGTAGCGTATTTTAAAAATGCAAAGAAGCAGAAAGCTTAATGTACAACGCTCGCGCATTGAAAACAGATGCACGATGAGGAAAAGAACGCCACGTGAAAGTTGACAGGCATCTAGCAACATGGACTATCACGGAAACAGCTAAGTCGATGGTAGTAGATTTAGGAGGAGGAAAAGAAGGCTGCGATTGAAACGGTCGCATGCGCGGAAGTAGCCGTTCTATTACAAGCCCGTGGAAGCTTTGCTCCTTGCTCATCAGATTTGCAGCCGAGAGGAGCTTTCTTGTAGTCACGTGTGTTGTGTGTGTGTGTGCGTACGTTTTCGCATATGCGCTGGTCTGTATCCCATGCCCAGATGCTTCGATCCGGCGCCGCGGGCCGTCATTGTCTTCAGAAGCACGTACCTAACATTCGACGTCCCTTCTTGCTCAAGCGCGCGTTTTTCTGGTCTAAATATACTTTGAGACCTTGCAATAATATACTCTACGTGTCTAATGAGTAGTCTTCGTACATGCGCTAAATCTGACTAGCACAGATCTATATCATTGTTGCAAATAAATGAGTATATACAGTGAAACGTGCAATATTAGGTAAGCGTGTATATAAACAAACATCTATTTGGCTAAATAAATACAATGAGCTCAATAAATATCACTTCTATGTGCACCATTCTTCTGGAACTATCGCCGTTTCCATACAAGCGCGCCCAAGCCGTCATCGCGCTTCGATGCGACAGGTTCCCCTGCCCGGCTCGCTATCCTTCGCGAATTCTGACTAGACGCAGCAATTCATTTGCCCTCAAATTCAGCGCTGTAGTCCGGCTAGGTTTTTATTGCTTTTGGTGCGGGGCGCTCCGGGAAGTGCGTGCGTCCACGGTTATTGCTGGAGAGAGTTTCAAAATGAGCGCTCTTTCAGATACTAGCACGTGGATTACAATTATCCTTGCGAAAGCAACGAAAGAGGTAATTACCATTGCATAGACGCGTACGATAGTCGAGGTTATTGCTTCGTTTGGTTGCGTCGTGCAACTTATTAGAGCTGCTTTCTTCGTTCATTTTGTCGCTTGGTGCCAGTGACTACGGATGGCATCGACGAAAGCGCTTTGCGTAAATAAGTGCCCAGCGGCACACTGTTGATTGGATGTGCGCTAAAGCAAACAGTTTATGCTTAGCGATCGATGCTGCAAAGCAAACTGCAGTTTTTGTTTGCGCCACTGTGTTGCAGTGATAAGTTGTTCCGTCTCGTAACGGAGCCACTACATTCCCACATTGCCCCCTGCCATTCTACAGCAGCCGTGGCACTTCGAACTTGTGGGAGGTCTCGGCTGGCTACGCGAATTGTTTAGTGCAGAGATATAAATATGAATAGAAGAGTGCTACTACTCGAGGCCCCCAACAACAAGTAAAATAGCAAAAGAACTTTCAAAATGTAAACTAGACAAGCATTTCTGACTTCGTGGCTGCCACCTAACGGATAGGAACGAGATGAAGAACTCAACGGTGGTACTTTGACTGACTTTAAATGTTTCATTATGAATGATGACATGTTTGGTTTCTTGTACAACGTCATAAAATGACTATCCTTTGCAGACCACAGTTTAAGTGATTTTCTGGCAATGACACGTCCCAAGACCGTGGATTGTGTCGAAACTTTTGCGGCAGACCCTGACACACTTGTGTGCCAAGCGTTTTTTTAATTACCGCGAGCTGCTGCCGAGTATCAGACAAGGTGATGAATGACCGTGGCGAGGATTGTGCCCCATCGTGGAGATTCGTTGATTTGGAGGGCGCCTGCTTAGCCTGCGACGCGTACACAAGAACGGGCGCCACCGAATGGCGGGTTCACTCTGTGAGGCCGCGTGTCGGCCGGTGGGGAGCCCCCAGCTTACAGCGGTTGCAGGCCGTCCAGCGAGTCCTCCACGGGCCAGGAGACACAGCCGTCCTCTTTGAAGCAGGCCGACTCGAGGTGCTTGTTGAGGTAGGACTTGAGCGCGAACGACTTGTGGCAGCGCGCGCAGCGGAAGTGCTTGAGGCCCGAGTGCGTCTGCATGTGCGCGCGCAGGTTGGAGCGGTCGGCGAACGCCTTGCCGCAGTGGGCGCAGCCGAACGGCTTCTCGCCGGTGTGCGAGCGCATGTGGCCCTGCAGGAGCCAGGGCCGCGAGAACGCCTTGCCGCACACGGGGCACTTGTGGCTCAGGTTGTGCGTCAGCACGTGCATGGCCAGCGCCGGCATGGACACGTACACCTTGGCGCACGTCGGGCACTTCTTGGCCAGCTGCGAGTCCGGGCTGCGGTGCGTCTGCTTGTGGCGCGACAGGTTCGACGAGGTCGCGTAGTGCTTGCCGCACTCGCCGCACGTGTAACGCGGCCGCTCTGGACTGCGCTTGGCGCGGGGCGAGTTGTCGCGGCCCTTGCGCCGGCTGCGACCATCGGTCAAGGGAGGCTTTTCACTCCGACTTTCCGGGGGGCTCGGCTCGGACACCACGTCCACATTACTCGCCACGTCCTCGTTGCCGTACAAGTGAAAGGCTGGTGGGGACAACTCGTGGTACTCCTTCGCCTCGGTGCCTGCTGGGCTCGGGGCGCCGCCAGGTAGCACCGTCACGGGTGCCAGGCCGGTGCTCCCGCTTTCGTATGATGGACTCGAGTAGTCTGCATGCAAGAAGCAAGATATTCAGCTCTGCACTGCACACACGTACAAAGAGACGATTTCACTAGAAATGACTTTCGAGAAGAAATTCTGAGCTCCCAACTCACCAGCTATATCCCCCTCAACAGCGCCGATGCACGACAACACGAAGAACACTAGAATTCTGGCGTTCCTAATGTCTTTATCTGCTCATCATTGCTTATTTGTGAAATCAAACTATCTCGCGGGGAGGTTTACAACCAACTAGCCGAGCTTTGCTGCTATAAAGTGGATGCGTAGAAAGCGCTGTTGCACTGCGAGTTTTTCGAAAAAGCACTGCCGGTCGGCCCATGCACTACTATGCTTCACGACAAGCACGAAGCCACATCCGAACTTTCTTTTGTTTGACAGAGTTTTTGCAAGTACCTCACCCCTCTCTCTACGCGCCGTACTCCGCGTACGGACAGTGTTTGGACTGTGAAGAACATTGTCATAGCTAAAGTGAGCTTCGAATCAAAGCATTGCCCGGCAAGCACTACATAATTCACAATCATCATAAATACATTGAACAAGAGAAGTACCGAGACAAGCATGCGCTTTCAACGAGGCGTGCCACATAGAACCAAAAAAGAAAAACAAAATGAACGGATAGTTGGAAAGCAATAATGCTCAAGAAATGAGCTCACAGATCATCAACGGTTTTAGCGAGCCGGAAAGCACCAAATAAAAAGCGCATCGACAGAAATACTCGCCACAGATCCCCTTGTGTCAATAGACAACCAAGTTGTCTTTGCGAATTTGCGACAATCTTTGTGACCACTACAGTTGTCTTTGCGAAGCACGAATTCAGCCCTATAGGGATGAATTCACGCTTTCCTTTGGTTCAACAAAACTTGAAATTGTGTGGGATGACGCATGGCTTTTTGTATAAGTGAGCTTTGGCATCAGTCAGCTGGCTTCAACAATTACCAGGATTAGCTCAAACATGCTTATAGGACGGATTCTAGCGTAACACTTGTTCGCAAATACAGGCGCCGATTGTGAATAAGAGCGAGAAAATTTGGCCGTACTATATGCTTATAGGGTACATTTGCTGGTTCATTTGGTGCTTACTGACAGTTTGGTTTTAGCTAAAAAACAACAACAACTAGTAAACCTGCCGGTCAGAAGCCTAATGCTAATGAGTGCATATAAATCATGCAACAACAGAACAACACATGACCGTGAGTTTAAAATGCATATAAGCGCCCCCCTCCCCCCCAAAAAAATTAAACTTAAGGGGAACGAGGGTCTTGAAATAGCACAAAATTGTAAAAAGTGCTGACTTTCAGAAAACTGCAATTTGAGGTATTTATAGTCAAAATTATGCTTTCGAAAAATTTTGTATTATGGGAAAATACCAGTTCTTTGTGTTAAAAGCCTAATATATCAAATTATAAATATTCTTAAAACTGAAAACACAATTTTCTTGGCATTGTTATTTTTGTAAAGTGAATGTGCCTTACGGAAGATTTGAGCAAGTTTCTGTGAAGATATCTAAACAAACTTGGTACCATTCTTTTTGGCAGCACTTGAAATGCAGGCTAAAGTTTCACTTTTTTTCGCAACCTTAATAGAATTGTAATTATATGACAAATACCAGATAACTAGAGGTAACTCATTTTTACATTCCAAGTTTAAAAAGGATTTCTGATAAAGAAATAACCGTTTTGACGTCTCGTTTGCTTTTGCCTGTAGGATGAACCTTTTAGAGGAAACATGCAGTTTTGAAAACTAACTTTTTTATTGCGAGTTACCCTAACAACCCGTTAGAAATTACTTATTTAATGTGGAGATTCGGCATTACTTTTTTTCTAGATGAGATATTTGAAATCTGTTTGCAGATTTGAAATCTCTATTGAATGGTACATACGCATGGCACGTTTCATTACAGTAGTATAATAAATAAAAAAGTTTTTTAAGACTCTCGTCTTCCCTTAACCTAATTGAAAGCTGTGTGATCACATTGATTATAGTCGACTGCAGTTTATTTATTACAACCTCTGCTCCTAGAACTGTGGTGCACCTGCCATTAATCTGAGCAAGACAGTGTTGCTGGATTGTTTTCATTGTAACCGCCAATACGCTAACGTTGTTAAGAGGAATACTATGCATATCAATAATAAAAAAGTTTGTGATCAATACGTCAAACAGAGTTTCCCCGGGCAGCGGTGCAGAAATCTCCGTTAAAATATGTCAGGAAGCTCGTGTTCTCCACCGAAAACAATTGACACGAGCGTGTGTCCGTATGAGAAATACTCTACCTGAAATTAGTGAAATGCGTTTGACGTCATGAGAGCGAACGAATTCAAGTGCATGCGGTCCTTTGCAAGCTTTTTCTTGGGGGGGGGGGGGGGGGGGGCTTCAATCACTGTTGGCGTAGCTTGCATTCATTTTAGATTGTAATTGAGCATCGTAACACTTGCATGTGAAAAACTACATTAAACATAAGGTGAAAGTCTGGCTGCACTCATTCATATAAGCCAAGTGAGCAGCGACAAGCAAGCAACATATGTTTGGCATGAAATCATGGTCACCTCATACAAGCACTTAAGTCTTTGTGTGCCTTTCTTGAAGATGTGCTGACTCTTTTGTGCCTTGAACTGTTTCTCAGAATACGAATGGGAAACTCGAGGTCAGCCTTCCCTTCGACATCATTCTTGATCCCAGGCAATGCCACGAGCCTCATCAGCAATGGCGAATAGGGCCGCCCACGACCGTATATGGCGCGGGCACTGTATCGCTCGACTTCCCGCCGCCAGTTAGAGTGCACCCTCTTTTTTGTGGACTTGTGAGTGTTGATGACGGACGAATGTCCGTCATCAGTGTATTTATTGTGTGTCTCGTGGTGGCCTTCTTTAGACGGTATATGTCAAAACTGGCATCGGAGATTGAGTTTATGATGAAAAACAGGCTGGAAAGGTTATGATGGCTAACATGACCCGCCTATCGCGCACGTCATGAAACCATTTCACACAGCCAGATGTGGCACATACACGCAGACAATGGCCAATGGTATGCGGGTATGTATCGCACGTGATTCATGGTCTACATTAACGCAGAGCAGCGAAAACAGACATTTTGAAAACTACCGACGCTTTGCATGTAATAATAGGGGAACATACTGTTTCGTTATAGTTCGTGAATTGAATGTAGTTACGTAAGCGCTCACATACGCTCTCCTAGGCTCAACAAGCTTCCAGCGTTGATAGTCCCCGCAGGAATACTGCCAAGGAACACTGCTTACACTTCGTTTTCACGAAAGTGACGTCAGCTGTAACGTGAATGCTGGCGGTACGTAAGACATTAGGCCATCCCTTAGACACCCCTATAGTAAACGTGTAACGAAGGTCTGCGATGTGTGCATTACTTAAATTGTACAAAGACATCAGCACAGCACGTCAGTCTTGGCTACTCGCTGACTTCTTCGCATGAAATCGATTCCCACAATGCATGGGTCGGACGGAAATTTTCGCATTTCACCTATATCGTAACATGGTCAGCGCGCAATCATCGAGTCCTGACGACTTCGTCCCATAACACGGAAAGACACCACTCCGGAATAGTGATCGCCAGTACGGCGACATAGGAGTGTTAAAATCTATATTCCGAACAACGTTCTTCTCCCTCTAGCAGTAGTGGTAGTCATTCATGCAGCACGGGCACAAACTCCCACTGAAGAACTGTCAATATATTATGTGAATCCAGGGCGTTGTCGACGTTATACAGAGATTTTTTTTTCATACAGACGTTCATGGCACAAAGCATAGTGACGAGCGTGACCCAGCATTCCAATGAGGGAATTTTGCGGCTAGAGTGAAGTTACAAAAAAAAATACCAGCAAGCTTATATATTGATGACATATATATACGGCGAATAATAATAGAACGACCACGAAACTGAAGCGCACATAGTTGCTGTTGAACGTCTCAATGTTCCTTGAATGAGATACGACCCTGAAGACGAAAACAGAATTCGGCAGCTCCTCGATCACTGCCCGACTGTGGCATTTCAAGCCTGTACGAAATGTATTTTCAGGACTGTGGCATCGCTGTCGCCACCCATTTCTGCGATTGAAAGATAAAATGGAGAGGAAAGCCCAGCCAGCACGCACTTCTGACCGTTTCCAACGTCGCCCGACTGACGTTTAGGGCTTTAATTTACGGCCTTCAGGCTCTATTGGCTCGACACTCGAGATGACAACAGCTGAGATCAAGATCGATCCTGGGAACGTCTTTTACGACCGCATTATAATCCTCAATGCTGCCGGGATATCTGTCTCTCCTTTTTCTTCCGGATCGCGTCTCGCAGGATTTGTTTACTTCAGCCTCGTCCGAGCGAAAGCGTAGTCTATCCATCGGCTGCCTGTAAAGCTCGCGAGCGAGCGCCGGCGTTTTGACTCCGGTCGCTCGCATGCTCAGTGAAACCAACAAACGTCCAGTAATGCGTTCGCAAACACCACCGTCCCCCTTTTCCTCCCTCTTTCCGACACGGCAGAGTTGTGTTTGTTTCGTCTGTCGCGCTGTGTATAAACGCTCCCAAGGTGTCCAAACCTCGCTCGCCTATAGAAGCGCTATATATATTTTTCGCCATCGCCTGGTTCCGCCTGTACATGTTCTCTTTACTCGCCCTCTGTTTCCTTTTCTTGCCATTACGTAGTATTTTTACCCTATTTGTATCCTGGGCGTACACCTCCCGACGGTGTACCCCCCTCCGCTTCCGCCGCAGCCTTTCGCGTGTTCCGCGATAAGCGACACGGGCATTGGAGAGATGAAGCTTTTAGCTTCCCGCTCTCCCTCGGCGGCGCCGCTTCCTCATTGGCTTCCCTCCTTATCTTCCGCTCTTCCCGGTGTCCCGCGAGGCGCGCGGGCACGCGACGCCGGCGAGCAGCCCGCAATCGATGGCGCTGCTCTGCCGCCACGGTGCGCGCCACGGCCAGGATTTATTCCAGCCCCCCTCTCTCTTTTACCCCTGCTCGCACGAG